TCTCGAACCCGCGGGCTCAGGCAGTCACTCACCTCAGCCTCCCAAAGGCACGGGATTACAAGCTGAGCCACCGAGCCCGGCTATTTATTTATTATTTTTTAAGTTGCAGTCTCACTCTCTGTCATCCAGGCTAGAGTGCAATGGCATGCTCATGGCAGCTGCAGTCTTGATCTGCTGGGCTTAGGTGATCTTTCTGCCTCAGTCTTCCAAGTAGCTGGAACTACAGGGACACCCCACCACACCCAGCTAATTTTTTTATTTATTGTAGAGATGAGGTCTCACCAAGTTGCCCAGGCTGGTCTCAAACCCCTGAACTCAGGTAATCCTCTCGCCTCCGCCTCCCAAAGTTCTGGGATACAGGTGTGAGCCACTGCGCCTGGTTGCTATAGAACTTTTAAACCCAAAAGTTTAAGGAATAGCAACATGAACTTCCCTTATACCATACCCTAGATCCAGAAATTATCAACATTTTGCCGTTATTTCATCTGTCTCATATCTTCCTCTTTTCCTTTTTTTTTTTTTTTTAAGTGAATCCCTTATGTTGTCATTTTATGCCATCTTACAGATACATACTTTTGCATATATCTATAAACTATAAGAGCTTTTTAAAATCTGTGTGTTTGTTGGAGTTTCACTGTTGCCCAGCTGGAGTGCAGTGGCATGATCCTGGCTCACTGCAGCCTCAAACTCCTGTGTTCAAGCAGTCCTTCTGCCTGAGCTTCCCAAGTAGCTGGAACTATAGGTGTGCACCACTACATCCAGCCAATTTTGTGATTTTTTTGTAGAGACTCAGTCTCATTACCCAGGCTGATCTCGAACTCCTGGGCTCAAGCAATCCTCCCAACTTGGCCTTCCAAAGTTCTGGGAATGTTAGCCATTTCACCAAGCCATGAGGGCATTTTTCTGGATAACCACAGTATTATTTTTACCTAATAACCAATATTATTGTCTAATATCTAGTTTATTTTCAGAATTGTACAGTAATTTCCAAAATGTCTCTTTACAGGTTTTTTATTTGAAAAAGTAATGTTTTAATGATAAAACTTAGGCTAGATTTTTTTCACGATTCATAAGCGTAATGGTTGAGTTTTCATGATAATGTGTGAAATGTGCTTCCCTCAAACCTTGTTACATTGGTAAGTTACCTGTCTGATGTCAACTGAAAAAAATGAGGCTAAAGATTCAGTAGGTTACTTACTGAGTTGTAATTAAATTAGAAAAGTAAATAACTTGTTTTTGTTTGGGAATTTAGATACAAGCCTTAAAGATGGCCTTTTCCATGAATTTAAGAAATTTGGAAAAGTGACTTCAGTACAGATACATGGTACTTCAGAAGAAAGGTATGGTCTGGTATTCTTCCGGCAGCAAGAGGACCAAGAAAAAGCATTGACTGCATCAAAAGGAAAACTTTTCTTTGGCATGCAGATTGAAGTAACAGCATGGGTAGGGCCAGGTAAGACACAAGCAAGTTGAGTTTTAGTTGCAAATTACATATACTGTTTGTATTTCAGTTTATGAGAGGGCTGCATTTCTGTAATAGAGAAATTCTGACTTTCAAGAGTCTGAAGGGCAGAGCTTTAGACTCTTGTTGAATCTACCTTTCCTGAAAGGATTGAATTGATCAAAATCAGGAGGTAGTTCCTAGGAGAATGACAACAGAATTACCCTGAATTAGAAAGCAAACTAAGCCGGGCTCAGTGGCTCAGCCTGTAATCCCACGCCTTTGGGAGGCTGAGGTGAGTGGATTGCCTGAGCCCGCGGGTTCGAGACCCGCCTGGGCAGCGAGACCTCATCTCTACAATAAATCAAAAAATTAGCCAGGCGTGGTAGTGTGCGCCTGTAGTTCCAGCTACTTGGAAGGCTGAGGCAGAAGGATCGCCGGAACCCAGCAGGTCGAGGCTGCAGTGACCGGGAGCGGCCACTGCACTCCAGTCTGGGCGACAGAGTGAGACTCCAACTCAAAAAAAAAAAAAAGAAAGCAAACTACTTCTTAATACCAATTTGAGGGACTGGTTAGACTAGTTTTATTTCTATTATGTCCAACACAAATTGGATCTGTTAGTCTAGCTTGCATGATCTTGAAAGTTAGTGACAGAGAAGCAAGACTAAGTCTTATAGGGATAGGGTATGACCTATTGAGAATTTCAAGGGAACATTTTATTATCCTGAACCCACCTATAAGATTTGTTGTAAGGCAGGAAGTCTTCTCAGGCATGTCTGTGGTACTTGTTTAAGAATGTATACTCGGATTCTACCCCAGCTTACTGATTCAGAATTTGTCCCCTCAAGTTTGGGAACCCCTAACTTAAGACAACATGAGTTTTTCTTTTATTTTTTTTGAGTCTCACTCTGTTGTCCTACTGCAGACTTGATCTGCTGGGCTCAGGTGACCCTTCCACCTCAGCCTTCCAGATAGCTGGAACCACAGGCATGCGCCACCATGCCCAGCTAATGTTTTTTGATCTACTGTAGAGATGAGGCCTCGCCAAGTTACCCAGGCTAGGCTGGTCTCGAACCCATGGGCTTAGGCAATCCTCTCACCTCTCCTTTCCAAAGTGCTGGGATTACAGGTGTGAGCCACTGTGCCTGGCCCTGAGTAAATTTTTATTTGTATTTTATTTATTTATTTTTTTTAGTCAGAGTCTCACTCTGTCGCCCAGGCTGGAGTGCAGTGGCATGCTCATGGCCACCACAGCCTCCACCTGCTGGGCTCAGGTGATCTTCTACCTCAGCCTTCCAAGTAGCTGGAACTACAGGCATGTGGCACCATGCCTGGCTAATTTTTTTTTTAAGTTATTGTAGAAACAAGGTCTCACCAAGTTGCCCCAGAGTGGTTGCAAACCCCTGGACTCAGGCAATTCTCTCACCTCAGCCCCCAAAGTGCTGGGATTACAGGCTTGAGCCACTGTGCCTGGCCAAGTAAATTTTTAAAGGAATTAACAGAAACATTAGAATTCTGCAGTCACCTTATGAAGCTGAGGTAATTGAGCTTTTAACTAAGACTGAGTAGAATTTGTAGGATAAACATGGCCTATTAATAGAGTAAACATGAATCATTTTATTTGATAGTTAAGAGGAAAAAACTATAGTTTCCCTGATAAGGTGTGTGAATGATAAGGTGTGTGAATGTGATTTGTATATTAAATCGGACAAAGAATTGTTAGAGCAAATACTGCAAAATATGCATGATTTTGTGATGAAACCGAGGAATTTAAAAGAATATTATCTTTTTAGAGGATTTATTGGTTATACCTTCACAGTCCTTCTTCCACCAAGTTTGAGATATCCTGCCCTAAATTATACTGACCTAAGAGTAGCTCCAGGAGTTCTTAAAATTTAAAACATTTGGAACAGGTCAGAACTGCTTGAAGAATAATATTTAGCATGTCACATAATCTGTGTTCTAGAGTCAATTATGATTATTAAGTAATGAGGATCTCATCCAGAGGCATTCAGATGACTCTGATCTCAAATGGAAGAACTGGCTTGAGAGTTTTACTGTAAAAGCTTTTCACCTAATATTTTAGTATCCAGGAAACAGTTGGGCTTTAATCACTTGCTAGTGAAGATTTTGAGAAATTTGATTGGTTCAAGCATAGGAAAGCTGAAGATACTTTTCCCAGTTGGGATAATATCAAATACAAGTTCAGTGGGATATTTGGAAGCAGCTGAATTTGAGTATGGAGACTTGGTTGGAATTATGCTGTCAGATGATTAAGTACTGAATGTTATATTGAAATGTACTGAGCTGATTACTTAGGTCATGTACCTTTTAGAAAGCTCCAAATCCAAGAAACCTAACTTTGCAGATAGAACCCTGGCGGATTCTGAGTTTCTACTTTCATACTCCTGTACATAGCATTAGAATCCCTTAAACATGAAATTGCAGTTTAAGAGAGGTTTTTCAAAGATGTGTAGGTATTCAGACTTTGACTGATCCTGAGTTTTAAGTAGACTACATGTGGAAAACACACTTTTGTTCTTTGCTAACTGACTTTTTTTGATTTTGAAAAATTTTCAAGGTGTTTGGTGGGAATGAAGCCATTGCAAGTTTTAATGGTTACAAATCATGCTTTTCTGACTCTGCCTATTGGAGTACAAAACTCAAGATGTATTGGGATTATTTCTTCCCTACCCCCCTTTTTTGAAATATTCTTACATGTCTGCCTACTATTAGTTAGCTAGTTTCTTGAAGACTGAGTTGAGCTTAAAATGAGATAACCCTCTGAAATATGCTGAAAATATGGAGACAGCGATTATGAACCCTGGGCAGTTTCTGGGTCTGTCTGACTCTGAAAGTATATTTTCTTCGTTGAAGCTGGTAAGATTAACTGAACTACCATTAGAGCTATAAATCTGAAATCAGAAGTGAGATGCATTCTGGCTAAATTCACTCAACAACTCTGAAGTTGAATTTTATAATACCACTGTTGTCATTGACATCATCAGCAATGTTCAGTGGCTGGTACTAAATTCTTTGTTTCAGTAAAGTTGATTAAATATTAATTTTTTTGTATGGCTTTATTTTACATTAAGAACAAATAGAGAACATATAGTACTGTAGTATAATTGTTAGCAACAAAACCTTGATTGTCCCTGCCCTAGACCAAGTTAATAAATGGAGCTTCAGAGAAAGGCTATGATTGAGTTAGCAATTAAACCAGGGCTTTCGATCATTAAAAAATAGAAACCTTAAGGATCATTTAATCCCTTTCTATTTGTCACTGAAGACCATGATACCAAAAGAAGCATTTCATAAATGTTTCAATCCATTTTTATATAGTTATTCTTGTATCTAAAATCCTGCATTTATACAATTGTCTTATTATGTTAATTAGTATGGAATGCTACATATCTTATAAAATGTTGAAAAGTCAATGAAATTAAATAATGAAGCTGGACTATTTGAAGCTGAGTTTTTGTGTCTATTTCAGATTGTCGTTTTATACTTTGTTGTGGTTGTAGTTTTGTTTTGTGTTTTTTTATTTTGCATTGGGGTTTCATTCTGTCGCCCAGGCTAGAGTACAGTGGCATGATCCTGACTCACTGCAACCTCAACTTCCTGGGCTTATGTGATCCTTCTGCCTTAGCCTCCTGAGTAGCTGGAGCTATAGGTATGCACCACCACACCTGGCTATTTTTTTTTTTATAGAGACGAGCCTCACTTTATTGTCCAGACTGGTCTTGAACTCCTGGGCTCAAGCAGTTCTCTCATCTCAGCCTCCCAAAGTGCTGGGATTATAGGCGTGAGCCCCCACTCCTGGCCTGTTCTTCACGTTGAGAGCCTGCCACATAATTTTGGAACCTAAGATTAGGCTCAAATAATTACTGTTTTTGCTGGGGTTTAAAATCTATTTCTGTATCAGTGATTATTTTTTAAAGCAAATCAACTTAGCAGATTTATTTATTTATTTGTTTTTGAGTTGTAGTCTCGCTCTGTCGCCCAGGCTGGAGTGCAGTGTCACACTCACGGCCACCCCAGCGTCGACTTGCTGGGCTCAGGTGATTCTTCTGTCTCAGCCTTCCCAGTAGCCAGAACTACAGGTGTGTGCTACCGCACTCAGCTAATTTTTGATTTATTGTAAAAACGGGTCTTGCCAAGGTGCCCGGGCTGGTCTTGAATTTGTGGGTCTCAGGCAGTCCACTCACCTCAGCCTCCCAATGTGCTGGGATTACATATTGAGCCACTGAGCCTGGCCTAACTTAGCAGATTCAAATTCAGTTTATTTTTTATTTTATCTATTTATTTATTTATTTTTTGGGTCAGAGTCTCACTCTGTCACCTAGACTGGAGTGCAGTGGCACACTCACGGTCACCCCAACATCGACCTGCTAGGCTCTGGCAATCCTTCTGCCTCAGCCTTCCAAGTAGCCGCTACCATGCCTGGCTAATTTTTGATTTATTGTAGAGATGAGGTCTTGCCAAGTTGCCCAGGCGGGTCTGGAACCTGCAGGCTCAGGCAGTCCACTCGCCTCAACCTCCCCAAAGTGCTGGGATTATAGACTGAGCCACTGAGCCCAGCCTATTTTTTATTTTAAAGGTTAGACAAAGTGTTATTTCACCACCATCCCCCCCCCACTCTTTTTTTGGACGAGTTTCTTTGTCCTTTGTATTCTTCTTTTCCTTTGGGATTAACAAAGGATAGCTATTTCTGAGGGTGTTTATAATATTTCACTTAAGTGATTATTTAAGCCCATTGTTTCAGAGATTTTGTTTTTTAAATGTATGTTTTCCCATGATATATAAATGCACATTAGAACATTTTCTTCTCTTTTATTGTTTCCATCCCACTGACAGAAACAGAAAGTGAAAATGAATTTCGCCCCTTGGATGAAAGGATAGATGAATTTCACCCCAAAGCAACAAGAACTCTCTTTATAGGCAACCTTGAAAAGACCACTACGTATCATGACCTTCGCAACGTCTTCCAGCGCTTTGGAGAAATTGTGGTATGTTGCTTTTGTCCTAAAAACAATTTTAGATCTTGGTCATAAAACATAAAGCATAGTACAGATTATATTTTAAAAGGAATGTTTTTTGTTTGTTTGTTTGTTTTTCCTTGAGTAGGGGTCTCACTCTGTTGCCCAGGCTGGAGTGCACTGGCATGCATGGTCATGGCCACCACAGCCTCAACCTCTTGGGCTCAGGTGACCCTTCCACCTCAACCTTCCAAGTAGCTGGAACTACAGGAGTGCACCACCATTCCCAGCTAATTTTTTGATTTATTGCAGAGACAAGGTCTTGCTAAGTTACCCAGGCTGGTCTTGAACCCTTGGACTCAGGCAATCATCTCACCTCTGTCCCCTAAAGTGCTGAGATTATAGGCCTGAGCCACTGTGCCCAGCAGATATTATTTAATGATGTAATGAATATTTTTCTCACTTGCTTTAATGTGTTTTTAACTCCTGATAAAAGATGATCCCGAGAAACCCACTGGGTGCTTTTCTATATATGTATGTAAAAACACATAAATATTTATCAATATTTTTATGCATATGTATGTTTTCTTTACCGTTTTTATCTTTCTTTGTCCTTTGGGTTCTGTTTCAGTGTCATCTCTAGTCCTGTGGGTTGAAAGGAAAATCTGGAAGAGAAAAACATGTTTGTGAAAAAAAGCAAATTAGTATATGATTATTGTGTAATCACAGTGCACATCAGAAATTCTCTGGGGGACTACTAGAATGTGAATGTTGTGTGCTGGAAGTTCAGTTCTATTTGGAAGGTTTTTTTTGTTTTTTGTTTGTTTTTTTGAGTTGGAGTCTCACTCTGTCATCCACGCTGGAGTGCAGTGGCACTCACGGCCACCTCAGCCTTGACCTGTTGGACTCAGGCAATCCTTCCGCCTCAGCCTCCCAACTAACTGGAACTGTAGGCCTGGGCCACCACGCCCGGCTCATTTATTGTAGAGACAAGATCTCACCAAGTTGCCTAGGCTGGTCTTGAACCTCTGGGCTCAGGCCATCCTCTCACCTCTGCCTCCGAGAATGCTGGGATTACAGGTGTGAGCCACCATGCCTGGACTGTTTGAAAGTTTTAATTTGAATCACTTCTGTTTTGGTTTGTTTTTCAGTCAGGCTCTCAAGGCTGAAGTACTATCATGGCTCACTGTAGCCTTGAACTCCTGAGCTCAGGCAGTCCTTCTACCTCAGCCTTCAGAGAAGCTGGGACTACAGGCACAGGCCATCACACCTGGCTGATTTCTTAAAATGTTTTTGTGAAGATAAGGTCTTACTACTTTGCCTTGGCTGGTCTGAAACTCCCAGTCTCTAGCAGTCCTCTCACCTCAACCCCCCGAGTGTTGGAATTACAGGCATGAGCCGCTGTGCCTGTCCTGAATCTCTTTTTATATTATGCAAGTCATTGTTACATTTAAGGATACAAGGAGTTTTCTTTTCCCAATGATTTAAAATTTGAGTGAATTTATAGTGAAAACATTTTGGTCACAGCTTTTATAGTCTTGGGATGTACTATTTTGTTCTGTGTTTGAAAAAGTAGGGAAAGTACTTCTGTCTTTCTGAAACTACTAATTAGAATGAAGAAATTGCTCTAATATATTTGGATTTTGAAGAATAAAAGATATTCTGAGTAGGAGCTGTTATTCTTTCAGGGTGTGTGTATGTATGTACGTCCATGTGTCTGTCTATCCTCATTTATACATGATTGCTCTAAGCAAAAGATCTTTGTTTATTTAAATAGCATCCAGTCTTGTAAATAAAATATTATGTGTGTTTGTGACTGATCTAAACCTCATAGAGACTGGGGATAAGATATAAAAGTGATTGACAGTAAAAAAAAAAGGAGAAATATATAGCTTTTCAGGTTCAGTTGGATATACTGATGGAATGAGCCTTTTCATTCAGGATTACATGTTTTAAATTACTTGCTGAAAACTTGATTTTTCATTCTTTTCTCAGATATTATTATATATATATATATATTTTTTTTTTTTTTTAATTTTTTTGTTTTGTTTTGTTGTTTGTTTTTTTGAGTCGGAGTCTCACTCTGTCACCCAGACTGGAGTGCAGTGGTCGCTCCCGGCCACCACAGCCTCGACCTGCTGGGCTCCGGTGATCTTTCTGCCTCAGCCTTCCGAGTAGCTGGAACTACAGGCGCGCACTACCATGCTTGGCTAATTTTTGATTTATTGTAGAGATGAGGGCTCACCAAGTTGCCCAGGCGGGTCTTGAACCCGCGGGCTCAGACCATTCACTCACCTCGGCCTCCCAAAGTGCGGGATTACAGGCTGAGCCACGGAGCCCGGCCAGGTATTATATTTTAAATGGCCTGGTCTTTAGTAAGGATTTAAGATATTATAAAATGGAATTATTTCTTAGGATTTCATTAAATGGGCTACCTTTTTTATTACCATAACTTTATTTTGGCCGGGCTCAGTGGCTCAGCCTGTAATCCCATGCTTTGGGAGGCCAAGGTGGGTGGATTGCCTGAGCCCGCGGGTTCGAGACCTGCCTGGGTAACTTGGCGAGACCTCATCTCTACAACAAATCAAAAATCAGCTGGGCGTGGTAGCCCGCGCCTGTAATTCCGGCTACTCGGAAGGCTGAGGCGGAAGGATCGCCGGAGCCCGGCAGGTCGGGGCCACTGCACTCCAGTCTGGGCGTTGGAGTGAAACTCCAACTCAAAAACAAACAAACAAACAAAAAAACTTTATCTTAACACTATTATTGTGGATTTTACATTTTGAATTTTGAGTTGCAATACTGTTGCTCTTCTGCAAAGAGCTTTCACATGGGAAGGATTTCATGGTTTGTGACTATAAATGCTGTGTTGTGCAACATTTAAACTACTAATTTACAGTTGTATTAAGATGTACTTTTTTTTTTTGAGTTGGGATCTCACTCTGTTGTCCAGGCTGAAGTACAGTGGCATGATTACTGCTCATCACAGCCTCCAACTCCTGGGTTCAAATGATTCTCCTGCCTCAGTCTCCTGAGTAGCTGGGAATGTAGGCATGTGCCACCAGGTCTGGCTAATTTTTAAAATTTTTTTGTAGAGATGAGGTCTTGCTGTGTTGCCTAGGCTGAAAGATGGACAATTTTAACTAAGAAAATTATTACTGGGAATGTTACTTTTTTATTTTTCATAATTGGGGTCTCAGTCCATGGTCCAGGTTGGAAGTGCAGTGGCACAATCAGAGCTCACCACAGCCTCAAACTTGGATTCAAGAGATCCTCCCTTCTCAGCCACCTGAGTCACTGGGACTGTAGGTGCACAATACCACACTTGGCTGATTATTTGATTTTTTTTTCTTTTAAATATTTGGGGTACAATTCAGGGTTAGGTATGCAAAATGTTCATTACGTATGAACATTTTTGTTAATAAGGTGTGGTCTCCCTCCCCGGCAGTTTCCCACTACTGCCAGTTCCACCCCCGCCCTCCCCTGGCAGTTTCCCACTACTGCCAATCCCTTTCTTTCATAGTATAATGATAGTTGTTAAAGGTCCACTTATGAGTGAGAACATGAGATACTCAGTTCTTTATTTCTGTGGTAGATCACTCAGTATTATAGGCTCTAAGTCCATCGCAGTTACTGCGAAGTTCATAATTTTGTCCTTCTTTATGACTGTGTAATTGTCCATTGTATATGTGTACCACATTTTTTTATTTGATTTTTTTTTGTAGAGACAAGGTCTCACTGTGTTGTCCATGCTGATCTCAAACTTCTGAGCTCAAGCAGTCCTTCCACCTCAGCTTCCCAAAGTTCTGGGATTTCAGGCATGAGTCACTGCACCCTGCCTGGAATGTGACTTTTTTGAGAAGTAAACGCCCTATATGAATTTGGTTTATTCTGATTTATTTTCTTATTGCTTTTTCAGGATATTGATATTAAGAAAGTAAATGGAGTCCCTCAGTATGCATTCTTGCAATATTGTGATATTGCCAGTGTTTGTAAAGCTATTAAGAAGATGGATGGGGAATACCTTGGAAATAATCGCCTCAAGGTAAATACATTTGTATAAATTATTGTGCTGTTATTTTTGTTTTTTTTTGGTATCTTTGTTTTTTAAGTTTTGGAGTTTTTTGTGCACATGTTTGATTATTTAAGTATTAAGACAGTTTGATAACCATAAAGGTGATATTTGTCTTTACACCCCTGTCTTATTATACTGTAATCTGAATTAACACTTGACTAACCAGACAGGATTGCTTTTGGAAATTTCTGTTTGATTTTAACCAGATAGTTCCCCCTTGAGATGTTGATCTGATAAGATTCCTATAGAAAACTCATTTTCTTAGAATTCTGTAGTTGAATAGTAATTGTGAACTTTACTAATAGAGATTTTGCCTTTTATATTCAGTTGGGTTTTGGAAAGAGCATGCCTACAAACTGCGTATGGTTAGATGGGCTTTCTTCAAACGTGTCGGATCAGTATTTAACACGACATTTCTGCCGATATGGGCCTGTAGTAAAGGTAGGTGGGAGGTTTTGGTGTGTGGTTTAAACTACCTCTGATTTTTCTTGATATTCTAACCTTTTAGTCCCAGTTCCTAGCATTGGCTTTATCTTTTCTTTAATAAGTCACACATTAAAATTCTCTTTGATAAAATTTGGTCTATAATTGCATTTGCATCTGTTAGCTTAAAATGTGAGTATTTTGAAAAACTATTTTGAACTAGCTGAGGTGAATGCTTCTTAGGAATTTTAATAATTTTATCACACTAAAATTACACAGTTTCATTATATAATTATTCATATTTACACTAAGTATATAATTAGACTTTTTAAGAACGATAATTTTGAAGGGAGGTTCACACACCAGACTTTCATCTAACCAGTGTTTGTTATGTAACACACCCACAAACAACAGGAAAAGGGACTTTGAAGCCAGTTCTATTGTGTGTAGGTACATCTTTAACCCCTCTGTGGTGGGTATGTTGCAAAACTTTGACGTTTCTTTAAATGTAACTTTTGTGTTGTTCAGAGAAATACACATTTACTTAAAGATTGCCTGGATAAATAAAAATGCAGCAGCTTTTTAGTAGATAGTAGTGTTACTCATAACCAAAATTCATTGAAATTCTTTGTTGATTCGGTATTCTTTAAATTTTTTTCTCCCTTTCAGGGGTGTTGGTTTTTTTTCTTTCGAGACAAGACAAGAAGAATGCTTTACTTAAATACAATATGGTAATCAACATGGAAAACAAAGTAAAATACAGAAAAACAAAATAAAGGCATGATATACCTCAAGCCACAATATCAGCACTTTTAAACAGTCCCTGCATGTTTTGTGCTTGTTACAAAGTGCATAATCAGAAAAAGTTTGAAATTTTTCTAGAATAAAATAGTATATAAAAATATTTTTTCTTTTGGCAGGGTCCTTGTGACTTAGGATTTTGATGGGATTGACACTAAGTCCAGTAGATGAGGCTCTTACTGGTTTTTTGTTTTGTTTTTTTACAGGTGGTGTTTGACCGCTTAAAAGGCATGGCCCTGGTTCTCTACAATGAAATTGAATATGCACAAGCAGCTGTAAAAGAGACCAAGGGGAGGAAAATCGGTGGTAATAAAATTAAGGTGTGCAGAATGACTTTAAACAGAAGTAAAACAAAATCACATTCAAACCTTACCCCCTTAATAAGTGGTGTTTGTCAGTTTCCAGCAGGGGAAGTGGTTCGTTCATAGGACATATATTTTATGTCCTCAGTGTTTAAGGGGAATATTATGCTTTTTGTGCTCAGCTACCTGTGGGCACTTGGTCTTTTTAAACCATTAACCTCGCCTGTAGTTCCAGCTACTTGGAAGGCTGAGGTGGAGGGATCGCCTGAGCCCAGCAGGTCAAGGCTGCGGTGGCCATGAGCGTACCACTGCACTCCAGCCTGGGTGACAGAGTGAGACTTCAACTTAAAAACAAAACAAAAAGAACAACAATATGCACCATTAGCCTTAGATCCTTCCCTAAAATTCTGCTCATTCAAAGAAGTGTGCCTCCCAATGCGCTTGGTACCTGATGCTCACAGGCACACCCACAGTCACCTGTTAGTGTCTGCAAACGCAGGACCTCAAAGTAGCAGTTCAACTTCCTGAATGATCCTGCCTTCCTCTTCTTTCCTCCTCTCCTAAAGAATGAGTAACTAGCCGGGCTCGGTGCCTCAGCCTGTAATCCCGCGCCTTTGGGAGGCCGAGGTGAGTGGATTGCCTGAGCCCGCGGATTTGAGACCCGCCTGGGCAATTTGGCGAGACCTCATCTCTACAATAAATAAAAAATCAGCCGGGTGTGGTAGCGCACGCCTGTAGTTCCAGCTACTTGGAAGGCTGAGACGGAGGGATCGCCGGAGCCCAGCAGGTCGAGCTCCCGGCCACTGCACTCCAGTCTGGGTGACAGAGTGAGACTCCAACTCAAAAAAAAAAAAAAAAAAAATAGAATGATAAAATAGTGACAGTTGTTGGATATCATATGTTTTAGTGACTTTGAGTCCCATCTGTGAGTCAAGTTTAAATGTTCTCCCATATTTTGTTTTATGTTCTGACTGTAGTTCCAACAAATTCATGCACAGTGGATATTACTGGAGTTAGTTGATCTGATTATTTAATTGCTGTTTCAGTTTCCTATTTTGCTTTTTTAAATTCTGTAGAATTGAGTCTGAAGCTTGAAATTTCATTCTCTTTTCAAGATTGGGGTAAAATTTCAGATATTTTAGGTTAGCAAAGTATAATTTCAGTTATGAGTACTATTTCACTTAATTGAGATAGAATGTTCTTTCCTGAAATTTGTCCAAAACTGCTATGTTGTGAAGAATTTTCAAATTTCATCATTAAAATTTGAAACTTGCATCAAACACCTGCCATGTTTTTTTTTTTAAGGTGGATTTTGCAAACAGGGAAAGTCAGCTGGCATTTTATCACTGCATGGAGAAATCTGGTCAAGATATCAGAGACTTTTATGAAATGTTAATAGAAAGAAGGTATGTATTTTAAATGTATTGGTGTAGCTTGAGTTTTAATACGTAAACTTCAGGTGGGATTAGATTTCTTTTATTACCTCATACAGAAAAACAGGCTTGTTTTTATGAATCCAATTTTCATGTGGTTCATACAGATTTGGGGCAACACTGTTTAGATTTCTCACTGAATGCTCTTACAGTTTGAAAGAGTTTCTACTGTTTTGCCAGCTTATAACTTTTTGTACCATTAACTATAAATACAAATCATCCTGCCTTACAGTTTTAAATTAAATGTGTTAATATATGTTAGAATGCATTATAAACTATTAAATGCCTTACACATTTAGCAATGACAACATTCAGGTTATCACCAGACATTGCTCATGCATTTAACTAAAAGCAAAACCAAACAAAAACTTCCTGCTGGGCTCAGATGATCCTTCTGCCTCAGCCTTCCAAGTAGCTGGAACCACAGGCATGTGCCACCATGCCCAGCTAGAACTTTATTTTAAATTTGAATCTTTTACCGGGCATGGTGGCTCATGCCTTTAATCCCAGCACTTTGGGAGGCTGAGGTGAGAGGATTGCCTGAACCCAGGGGTTCAAGACCAGCCTGGGCAACATGGCAAGATCTTGTCTTTACATAAATCAAAAAATTAGCCGGGCATGTTGGTGCATACCTGTAGTTCCCGCTACTTGGAAGGGTGAAGTGGAAGGATCGCCTGAACTCAACAGATCGAGGCTGCCATGCAATGAGCGTGCCACTGCACTCCAGCCTGGGCCACAGAGTGAGACTCTGACTCAAAAAAAAAAAAAAAGAATTGAATCGTTTTCTTTGTGAACCAATAAACCAAAGCATATAGAAACTGGTGACTTTGGCAATGTGAAAGGCAAACCTGATTTCCCCTTGTTAATACTGTCATTCATGATAGTGCGGTATTTAATATTTTGTCTGCTGAATCGATGGAATATATCAAAGCATCTTAAGGTAGTGCCACTAGGTTCTTAAATAGATTACATTTAAAAATGGAAACTTGAACCATATGATCAAGCTGTTTGTCCAGACATGCGTCTGACTAAGTCTCCTGGAATGTGACCACTAGGTCTCCACCCTGTACCTATGTGTCAGACAAAGACTTTGTGTGAAAAATGCCTTCAGAACTGAAGTTCAAATATGAAGAGGGCTCTATGATAAGAGTGCACCAAACCAGAGTCATGCCAGAAAATCCTTCTTGCCATTTCATTTTTTTTTAATATCATAGGAAGCATATATCTCTATGACTTATTTATTTCTTCTTCTTTTTTTTTTTTTTTTTGAGTTGGAGTCTCACTGTCACCCAGGCTGAAGTGAAGTGGCACGCTCATGGCTACCGCAGCCTCAACCTGTTGGGCTCAGGTGATCCTCCACCTCAGCCTTCCAAGTAGCTGGAACTGCAGGCATGCATCACCATGCCTGGCTAATTTTTTTATTTTTAATTGCAGAGGCAAGGTCTTGCCAACTTGTCCAGGCTGGTCTCGAACCCCTGGACTCAGGCAATCCTCTTGCCTCTGCCCCCCAAGGTGCTGGAATCATAGGTGTGAGCCACCATGCCTGGCTCTGTGAGTCATTTCTTAGTGGAACATTATACAATAGTCACTTAATACTTGGCGCTTTTTTTTTTTTTTTTTTTTGAGTTGGATTCTCACTCTGTCACCCAGGCTGGAGTGCAGTGTCACACTCATGGCCTCCATAGCTTCAACCTGCTGGGCTCTGGCGATCCTTCCACCTCAGCCTTCCAAGTAGCTGGAATGCCAGGCATGTGCCACTGCGCCCAGCCATTTTTTGATTTATTATAGAGATGAGGTTTCGCCAAGTTGCCCAGGCTGATCTTGAACCCATGGGCTTCAGACAGTCCCCTCTCACCTCAGCCTCCCAAAGTGCTTGGATTATAGGCATGAGCCACAACACCTGGCCTATACTTGGTGCTTTTTAAATGAAATTTGTCCCCCACCCCCACTGCCAAAAGCTCAAACTTCTAAGGTTTTGATGGTTTCTCATTAATAGATCAGAATCCAAATCACAAAAGATAAGAAATCAGCAGTCTTCTAGCTAGAAAGTCAGACTTGATAGGCTCTTCTAACTCAGTTGTGTGCGAGTGTAAGAAAGAGAGGAAGAGTCAGCATGAGATTGTGTGTACACATGCAAGAGAATGTATGTGTCTGTTGGGAGAGGAAAAATGTTCACGATCCTGGCTCCCCAAGTGGCAATTTGAAGTCATTGTTAATACATTAAGTGCTTATAGGAATTCTTACCCATAAATGAGTGGAAAGTGTGTTGGAGGCCTAATTGCACTTAAGACATAAAAAAAAATCCATTAAAATCCTTTGTGTACATTAAATATTTTTGAAAGAGCAGTGTCTTGTGAGAGTCGGGTAATGTAGTCTGGGCATTAATTCTACTTAAAATTCACTCATTTTAGTGATGATCTGGCTCTGCTTTTTTCTTTGGTTCTTTCTCATGGTGGTTTATCCCTGTCAAATGGTTTATCTCCTAATGTAGGAAGCAGGAGGGTGTAGGGCTTGACTGTAGCTCAGGTTTGCCCCATTTGGCTTCAGCTGGCAGTGCCTATGGGGTGCTTTCCTTGCAGTAGAGCCTGAGGATCTTTGCCTTTTCCAGAGAGTAGAAGTAAGTTGTACTGCTGCATAGTTGTTGCATGAGTGAAAAACATTGTAACGCTAATGATAATTCAGCCCAGGAATGCAAACGATAACTGTCTTTGCACAGGGTTTTCCCATTTACAAGCAGTATTTCTTTTTTTTTGAGTCAGCAGGCTGAAGTGCAGTGGCATGCTCATGGTCACCCCAGCATCAACCTGCTGGACTCAGGCGATCCTTCCACCTCAGCCTTCCAAGTAGCCGGAATTACAGGCATGCGCTACCACGCCCGGCTGATTTTTTGATTTATTGTAGAGATGAGGTCTCGCTGCCCAGGCGGGTCTCGAACCCGCGGGCTCAGGCAATCCACTCACCTCAGCCTCCCAAAGGCGCGGGATTATAGGCTGAGCCACCGAGCCCGGCCTGGCTAATTTTTTGATATATTGTATAGATGAGGTCTCATCAAGTTGCCCAGGCTGGTCTCGAACACCTCAGCTCAGGCAGTCCTCTTGCCTTGGCCTCTCGAAATGCTGGGATTACAGGCACAAAATAGTATTTCATTTGATCCCTCAAATACTATGTCAGGTAGGGCTGTCACTGTTACCCTGCTTTATGGAAGGAACCAAGGATCAAATAACTTTTGCTGATAAGGTTACAGGCTATTAAGGGGTTGTTGGACAGGGAGTAAACCCCGGGTTCCTAGCTGTTCGTGCCTTAAGCCTGCACTTTATCCAGGTGATTCTCAAGATGAGTTTACAGGGGCACAGAATGACTTGGGTGACTTTTTCATTTACTTATGGTCGTTTGGATATTGTACAGTTATGTGAACAAACTTGGTCTTTCACTTGACCTTTTGCAGTTCCTCAGTGTCCCTGTACATGGTCCAAGTGCTCAGTTGTGTTTTCCCTGCGTAAGTTGTTGAGTTCTTTAAGGGCAGAACTGCTCCTTTCTTTTTGTAGTCTTGGGGACCAGCAAAAGAAGTATTTAAACTGCACAGTGCTCTAGCACAGACATTTATACATATAGCTCTACAACTTTCCCCCCATATTTTGAAGTATAATTTTAGTTTGCTTAATTTTAAAAATATCTTTGATACTGGCTATTAATATGGTCAGTAAACTAATGACCAGTCTAGATGTCTTATTCACTTTGTAATATTAGAAAGTATATAATGTGTTTACCTTTATATAGAAAAATAATACTTCTTTAGAGTGTATATTTATGGTGGTAATAAGCTAGTTAAGTTAGCCTCATTTCATGCCTAGTAACATTTATTTGCAAGATGGCTGGTCAATAAAGAATCTGATTCCTCTGGAGCTATAGAAGGATCACCTTGAATCTGATTAAATCAAATATCATAGATATAAAATATTCTCTTTGAACTGAGAAAATTCAGTATAAATACATATACTAAAATGTTATTGATGTTTCCAGTGTTTGAATGTTCAGTCTAGATTCTTTGTTTGCTGTTCAGAGGGGTTTAGAACATCACCTGGTACCAGTTATGAGATAGTTTTGTAAAGTTTATTCTTTCAGCAAACAATTGATTGCTTGCGGTGAGCCAAACAGGGAAATTGTGACAGAGGTAGGGAAATTGTGACCAAGAAGATAAACCCTGTGCCTGTAGGGGGCCTAAGTTCTAGTTTTGTTATATTTTAATAAGCTACTATTGGCAATATTGTCTAGAATGAAGAAGCCATAGCTACCTGAGAGAACAAAAATTTCTGAGCATGAACCAGTGAAGAAATTAACTGGTCTCTGATACAGATGTATTTAATTTTTATATAATGTGTTCTTCTGTGTAAATTTAATTCTATTTTGAGTGCCCTGGGCAAGTCCCTGTGAGAGATAACCTGTGATGAGTTCTTAAAAATAGAGGAGTTGGCCGGGCTCGGTGGCTCAGCCTGTAATCCCGTGCCTTTGGGAGGCTGAGGTGAGTGATTGCCTGAGCCCGCGGGTTCGAGACCCACCTGGGCAGGTGAGACCTCATCTCTACAATAATAAAAAAAAATAGCCGGGCGTGGTAGTGCGCGCCTGTAGTTCCAGCTACTTGGAAGGCTGAGGCGGAAGGATCGCCGGAGCCCAGCAGGTCGAGGCTGCGGTGGCTGGAAGTGGCCACTGCACTCCAGTCTGGGTGACTGAGTGAGACTCCAACTCAAAAAAAAAAAATAGAGGAGTTAGCCAAGTGCGATGGCTTAGGCCTGTAACCCCAGCACTTTGGGAGGTTGAAGCGGGAGGATCATGTGAAGCTAAGGATTCGAGGCTGCAGTGAGCTATGATTGCACTCCTGCACTCCAGCCTGGGTGAGACCTTGGCTGTGAGACCTTGCCTCAAATAAATAAATAGGCAAACAGGAGGAGTCCTCTCACAGTGCTTGCAGTCATCTCTGATTTCTTAGTTGGCAGTTTTGCGGAAAGTAACATTTACTGAGGGCCAAGTAATATGCCCTGGGTTATGCTAGGAACATTTTTACAGGTGTTATCTTAATCTTCTTAAGAGCTTTATGAGGAAAAGTTATCATTTTATGAGTGAAGAGACTGAGCTCAGAGAACTTAACTAGCCCTCACAGTATTTCTTAAAATTGTGAATTGAGATAGAGTGTGATACAGGTTACATAGGTGGTCACATAGATTTTCATTAAAATTTTTATCTGACTTTCTAAACAGTGTATTTCCTAAGTTGTGGTAAGAATATCTTTAGGTAGGAAATTACTTATGAAAGACTTAGGGATGCAAATATATGACACTAGTCAATAGCTAGTGCCTGCTTTGTCACCACACCTAAATTACTGAAAGTATTAGAAAGGGCTGCACCACCACTGCCCAGTGGAGACATAACACAAGTCAAGCAAGTTATGCATGTGTGATTTTTACATTTTCTATAGTCACATTAAAGAGTAAAAGGAAGAGTGAAATTAATTGATTAATTTATTTAACTTAATATATCTAAAATAGTTTAACATATATCTAATCTAAATACATTGTTGTAGTTTTCTGTTTAAAACTAAGTCTGCGCCTTTGGGAGGCTGAGGTGAGTGGATTGCCTGAACCTGTGGGTTCGAGACCTGCCTGGGCAGCGAGACCTCATCTCTACAATAAATAAAAAAATCAGCCGGGCATGGTAGCGCATGCCTGTAATTCTGGCTACTTGGAAGGCTGAGGTGAAGGATAGCCGGAGCCCAGCAGGTTGAGGCTGCGGTGGCTGGGAGCAGCCACTGCACTCCAGTCTGGGCGACAGAGTGAGACTCCAACTCAAAATAAAATAAAATAAAAAAATAAAACTAAGTCTGCAAAATTTGGTGTATATTTTACACACACATCTTAATTTAGACTAGCCAGATTGCAAGTGCAGTAAGTCCCCCAACATGTGAACCTTCAAGTTAAGAACTTTAATGATGCACACCTGTATTTTTTTTTTATGTATTTCTCTCCACCAGGTGTCAGTATAGCCTGTTAAATACATACAGTACTGTAACCAGTCCCTAACCTAAGTTAGGGACTTAGGCTAACTCTGTTGGACTTAAAACAAATTGGACTTACAAATGCACTCTCAGAATGGAATTCCTTTGTATGTTGGGAACTGCCTGTGCTTAGTAGCCACATATGGCTAGTGGCTTCTGTATTGGACACCCTCTGCATTTTAGTCATTTAGCGAATGATTAAATAATGTCAAAGATTTTTTATTTTTTATTTTTGAGTTGGAGTCTCACTCTGTCACCCAGACTGAAGTACAGTGGCGTGATCACACTTATTGCAGCCTTGACCTGCGGGGCTCAGACGATCCTTCTGCCTCAACCTCCCAAGTAGCTGGGACTACAAGCATGTGCCTAATTACATGTCTAGTAACATTTATTTGCAAGATGACTGGTCAGAAAAGAATCTGAAGGATCATTTTCTATTAGCCATGACTGGCTAATTTTTTGATTATTTGTAGAGATAAGGTCTCGCTGTATTGCCCATGCTGATCTTGAACTCATGGACTCCGACAATCCTCTCACCTTGACTTCCCAGAATGCTGGAATTACAGGCATGAGCCACTGTACCCAGCCCAAAGATTTTTAGAAACAAGACTTTCTGATTTCTTATATATAATCTAATGAATAACTGCTAAGGAACCAAAGAACTAATAATATCTTGTTAATTTTTTGGCAGAGAGGAACGAAGGGGATCCTATGACTATAACCAAGATCGTACATATTATGAGAATGTTCGAACTCCAGGCACATATCCTGAAGATTCCAGGAGGGACTACCCAGCTCGAGGGAGAGAGTTTTATTCAGAGTGGGAGACTTACCAAGGAGACTACTATGAATCACGATACTATGATGACCCTCGAGAGTACAGGGATTATAGGAATGATCCTTACGAGCAAGATATTCGGGAATACAGTTACAGACAAAGGGAACGTGAGAGAGACCGTGAAAGATTTGAGTCCGACCGAGACAGAGACCATGAGAGGAGGCCAGTGGAAAGAAGTCAGAGCCCGGTTCACTTACGGCGCCCACAGAGTCCTGGAGCATCACCCTCCCAGTCAGAGAGGCTACCGAGTGATTCTGAGAGAAGGCTCTATAGCCGGTCATCAGACCGGAGCGGGAGTTGTAGCTCACTCTCCCCTCCAAGATATGAGAAACTTGACAAGCCACGTTTGGAGCGCTATGCAAAAAATGACAAGACAGATAAAGAACGAACTTTTGATCCTGAGAGAGCGGAAAGAGAGAGACGCTTGATACGGAAGGAAAAAGTGGAAAAGGACAAAAGTGACAAGCAGAAACGAAAAGGAAAAGTTCACTCCCCCAGTTCTCAGTCTTCAGAAACTGACCAAGAAAATGAGAGAGAACAAAGCCCTGAAAAACCAAGGAGTTCTAATAAACTGAGCAGAGAGAAAACTGACAAAGAAGGAATAGCAAAAAATCGCCTGCAACTCATGCCTTGTGTGGTTTTAACTCGAGTGAAAGAAAAAGAGGGAAAGCTCATCGACCATACTCCTGTGGAAAAGCTGAAAGCCAAGCTTGACAGCGACACTGTCAAGTCATCTGCCCTAGACCAGAAACTTCAGGTCTCTCAAACGGAGCCTGCAAAATCTGACTTGTCTAAACTGGAGTCCGTTAGACTGAAAGTGCTGAAGGAAAAGGGACTTTCAAGCCACATCGAGGTGGTAGATAAGGAAGGCAGGCTGAAAGCCAGGAAGCACCTCAGAGCTGAGCCAGCGACTGACGGGGTCAATACTGTGGAGCTGGAAAAACTGGAAGCAAGAAAAAGGCGTTTTGCAGATTCCAACTTGAAAGCAGAAAGACAAAAACCAGAGGTTAAGAAAAGTAGTCCAGAGATAGAGGAAGCTCGAGTGCTTTTAAAAAAGCAACCTGATGTGTTGTCTAGAGATGCCATTCTGCTGAGGGAAGGAGAGTCGGAAAGAAAGCCTATGAGGAAAGAAATTCTTAAAAGAGAATCTAAAAAAATCAAACTGGACAGACTTAATACTGTTGCCAGCCCCAAAGACTGTCAGGAGCTTGCCAGCATTTCTGTAGGGTCTGGCTCAAGGCCCAGTTCAGACCTGCAAGCAAGACTGGGAGAACCAGTAGGTGAATCTGTGGAAAATCAAGAGATACAATCAAAAAAGTCTGTTCCCTCAAAACCACAGCTTAAACCACTGCATCTGTTAGATGATCAAGGACCAGAGAAAGAGGATGGTAGGAAGAACTATTGCAGTCTTCGTGATGAAACACCTGAGCGTAAATCAGGCCAAGAGAAATCACATTCAGTAAATACTGAAGAAAAAATTGGCATTGACATTGATCACACGCAGAGTTACCGAAAACAAATGGAGCAGAGTCGTAGAAAACAACAGATGGAGATGGAGATAGCCAAGTCTGAGAAATTTGGCAGTCCTAAAAAAGATGTAGATGAATATGAAAGACGTAGCCTCGTTCACGAGGTAGGCAAACCTCCTCAGGATGTCACTGATGATTCGCCTCCCAGCAAAAAGAAAAGGATGGATCATGTTGATTTTGATATCTGTACCAAGAGAGAGAGGAATTACAGAAGTTCACGCCAGATCAGTGAAGATTCTGAAAGGACTGGTTGTTCTCCCAGCATCCGACATGGTTCCTTCCATGAAGATGAGGATCCCATAGGCTCCCCTAGGCTAATGTCAGCCAAAGGGTCTCCTAAAGTCGATGAAAAAGGTCTCCCCTATTCTAATATAACAGTCAGGGAAGAATCTCTAAAATTTAATCCTTATGATTCTAGCAGGAGAGAACAGATGGCAGATATGGCCAAAATAAAGCTATCTGTCTTGAGTTCTGAAGATGAACTAAACCGTTGGGATGCTCAGTTGAAACAAGATGTCAGCAGATTTGAGGTGAGTTTCCCGAATAGCATAATTAAGAGAGACAGCCTTCGAAAAAGGTCTGTACGGGATCTGGAACCTGGTGAGGTGCCTTCCGATTCTGATGAAGATGCTGAACACAAATCCCACTCACCCAGAGCCTCTGCGTTGTATGAAAGTTCTCGATTGTCTTTTTTATTGAGAGACAGAGAAGACAAACTACGTGAGCGAGATGAAAGACTCTCGAGTTCTTTAGAAAGGAACAGATTTTACTCTTTTGCATTGGATAAGACAATCACGCCCGACACGAAAGCTTTGCTTGAGAGGGCCAAGTCCCTTTCTTCATCTCGAGAAGAAAATTGGTCTTTTCTCGACTGGGACTCCCGATTTGCCAATTTCCGAAGTAACAAAGATAAAGAGAAGGTTGACTCTGCTCCAAGACCTATTCCATCCTGGTACATGAAAAAGAAGAAAATTAGGACCGATTCGGAAGGGAAAATGGGTGACAAAAAAGATGATCATAAGGAAGAAGAGCAGGAGCGGCAAGAGTTGTTTGCGTCTCGCTTTTTGCACAGTTCCATCTTTGAGCAAGATTCCAGGCGATTGCAGCACCTAGAGAAAAAAGATGAAGACTCCGACTTCATTTCTGGTAGGTTACATGGGAGGCAGGCGTCAGATGGAGTGCATAGCACGACCGACTTAGTTCAAGAGCCAGTAGTTCTATTCCATAGCAGATTTATGGAGCTCACACGAATGCAACAGAAAGAGAAAGAAAAGGACCCGAAACCCAAAGAGGCTGAGAAACAGGAAGATGCAGAGCATCATCCCAAGACCCCAGAATCTGCTGAGAATAAAGAGTCAGAACTGAAAACTCCGCCTTCGGTTGGGCCTCCTATTGCCACAGCTGTGACTCCAGAATCAGCATTGCTAGCACTCGAGAAGACAACTAGTGACAAGACAGTAGAGGCACCTTTGGTAACAGAAGACAAAACTGTGGAGCCGGCTGTCATCTCGCAGGAAGCAAAGCCTGCATCTGAACTGGCTCCTGTCCCTGTGGAACAGCCCGAGCAAGCAGACCTGCCCCCAGGAGTGGACACTAACAAAGATGCTGCCGTGACACCAGCAGTTGTTGGAGAAAGCGCATCAGGTGACCAGCTGCCTTACTTGGATGCCAAGCCTCCAACACCTGGGACTTCCTTTTCCCAGGGAGAGAGCGGTGCAGATCCAGACCCTGACAATACCCAACCACCTTCAAAGCTGACTCAGAAGTCTGAGGAAGCCAATGAGCCAAAAGCCGAAAAGCCAGACTCTGCTGCTCATGGTGAGCCTCGTGCAAATCCAAAAGCCGAAGTTGCTCCTGAGGTTCAGCCTCAGGCTTCTGAAGATCCAGAGGCTGATCTGCCCGTGGCTGTGAAGGATAAAAAGCCAAACAAAAGTAAGCGCTCTAAGACCCCAGTTCAGGCAGCTGCAGCAAGTATTATGGAGAAGCCTGTCACAAGGAAGAGTGAAAGGATAGACCGGGAAAAACTGAAGCGGTCCAGTTCTCCTCGGGGAGAAGCACAGAAGCTTCTAGAATTAAAGATGGAAGCTGAGAAGATTACAAGGACTGCTTCTAAAAACTCTGCTGCAGACCCTGAACACCCCGAACCAAGTCTGCCTCTCAGCCGAACGAGGCGCCGGAATGTAAGGAGTGTTTATGCAACCATGGGTGACCATGAGAACCGCTCTCCAGTCAAAGAGCCTGTAGAGCAGCCAAGAGTGACCAGAAAGAGACTGGAGCGAGAGCTTCAGGAGGCTGCAGCAGTTCCCACCACCCCTCGGAGGGGAAGGCCTCCGAAGACACGCAGGCGAGCTGACGAGGAGGAGGAGAATGAGGCCAGAGAACCCACAGAAACACTCAAGCCAGCTGAGGGATGGCGGTCCCCTAGATCTCAAAAAACTACAGCTGGTGGCGGCCCCCAGGGGAAGAAGGGGAAAAATGAACCGAAGGTTGATGCTGCACGTCCTGAAGCCGCCACTGAGGTGGTCCCCCATGTCGGTACGAGAGAGAGTCCCACAGAGGCCAAGGCTGGGGAGGAGGAGGCAGGGAGCGAACAGAAACGCGATCAAAAAGAAGCCAGTGCAGACAAAAATCCCCCTGAGACCATCGCTGTCGATGTTGTAGAGAAAAAACCAGCCCCTGAAAAAAACTCTAAATCAAAGAGAGGAAGATCTCGAAACTCGAGGGCAGCAGTAGACAGATCTGCAAGTCTGAAAAATGTGGATGCTGATGTCAGTCCCAGGGGGTCTGCGGGGCAGGCAGGGGAGAGGGAAGCTGGGGTGGTGGCGGTCTCCCCCGAGAAAAGCGAAAGTCCCCAAGAGGAGGCTGGTGCACCATCCCAGCTGCAAGAGGACCCAGCTGGTCCAGGCAAGGAGCCAGACAAGGAGGATGTGTCTGCCTCTAGGCCGCCCCCAGAAGCCACCCAGCTAGCCAAGCAGATGGAGCTGGAGCAGGCCGTGCAGAACATCGCCAAGCTCACCGAAACCTCTGCGGCCTACAAGGCAGCTGCCGCAGACACCCCTGAAGGCCTCACTGCAGAGGACAGGGATAAGCCAGCACACCAAGCCAGTGAAACAGAACTGGCTGCAGCCATTGGCTCCATCATCAATGACATTCCTGGGGAGCCAGAAAACTTCCCAGCACCTCCACCCTACCCGGCAGAGTCCCAGGCAGGTCTCCAGCCCCACGCCCCTGCCCTGCAGCCTCCAGAGGGAGGAATGGAGCCTGAGACCGACGAAGCTGTGTCTGGCATCCTGGAGACCGAGGCTGCTACAGAATCCTCTGGGCCAGTGGTCAATGCCCCTGACTCCTCAGCAGGCTCAGCAGATACCAAGGAAGCCAGGGGGAGTGGTAGCGACACCTCCCACTCAGTGCAGGAAGCCAAAGGGCCGAAAGGAGTGGAAGTCCCTCTTGTTCGCAAAGACAAAGGGCGCCAGAAGACAACCCGCTCACGCCGCAAACGTAATATGAACAAGAAGGCGGGGGCTCCCGCAGATACCACAGTCCCCGAAGCTGACCCCGCGCAAAGCAAGAGTCCTGCTACTGCAAGTGAGGGGTTGACGGTGCAGCCCCCTGAAACTCCACAGGAAGAAAAGCAGAGTGAAAAACCCCAGTCGACTTCTCCTCAGTCATGTACGTCTGACCCAAGCAAAACTCCCTCCATGGAGAATGTGTCCCAGGAAAGCAGTGTTGAAGAAAAGACTCCAACCAAGATGTCCGTGCCCCCGGACCTTGCTCCTCCTCCTCAGCCAGCACCATTGGACGATGAACCTCAAGCCAGGTTCAAGGTGCATTCAATCATTGAAAGTGACCCAGTGACCCCACCCAGTGACTCAAGCATACCCACCCCCACACTGCCTTCTGTAACTGTAGCAAAGCTCCCACCCCCTGTCACCTCTGGGGGGATCCCACACCAGAGCCCTCCTCCTAAGGTAACAGAGTGGATCACAAGGCAGGAGGAACCACGGGCTCAGCCCACCCAGTCTCCAGCTCTTCCCCCAGACACAAAGGCCTCTGATGTTGACCCCAACTCCAGCACACTGAGGAAGATTCTCATGGACCCCAAGTACGTGTCTGCCACAGGTGTCACTTCCACGAGTGTCACCACGGCCATTGCGGAGCCTGTCAGTGCCGCCCCTTGCTTACATGAGGCACCACCCCCTCCAGTTGACCCTAAAAAGTCTTTAGAAGAAAAAACAGCAGCTCCGGTAACAAACACCACTGACATACAAGCCTCAGAGGTTCCTGTAGCTGCAGACAAGGAAAAAGTGGCTCCAGTCATTGCTCCCAAAATTACTTCCGTTATCAGCCGGATGCCTGTCAGCATCGATCTGGAGAATTCACAGAAGATAACCCTGGCAAAACCAGCTCCTCAAACTCTGACTGGCCTGGTGAGTGCCCTCACTGGCCTGGTGAACGTCTCCCTGGTGCCAGTGAATGCCCTGAAAGGTCCTGTGAAGGGCTCGGTGGCCACCCTGAAAGGTTTGGTGAGCACCCCTGCTGGGCCTGTGAACGTCCTAAAGGGGCCCGTGAACGTCCTTACAGGGCCAGTGAACGTGCTCACTACTCCAGTGAATGCCACAGTGGGCACAGTCAACACCGCCACGGGTGTGGTAAATCCCACTGCAGGCACAGTCAATGCCGCTGCAGGTGCAGTGAATGCCACTGCGAGTGCAGTGACAGTCACAGCAGGTGCGGTTGCTGCTGCATCTGGTGGTGTGACAGCCACAACAGGCACAGTGACCATGGCAGGAGCAGTGATCGCACCGTCAGCAAAGTGCAAACAGAGATCAAGCACTAACGAAAACAGTCGGTTCCACGCAGGATCGATGTCTGTGATTGATGATCGTCCAGCAGACACGGGCTCGGGGGCAGGGCTGCGAGTGAACACGTCAGAAGGGGTTGTGCTCCTGAGCTACTCGGGGCAGAAGACTGAAGGCCCCCAGCGGATCAGTGCCAAAATCAGCCAGATCCCTCCAGCCAGTGCGATGGACATTGAGTTTCAGCAGTCGGTGTCCAAGTCCCAGGTCAAACCTGATTCTGTCACAGCTTCACAGCCTCCACCCAAAGGCCCTCAAGCCCCTGCAGGCTATGCAAACGTGGCCACCCATTCTACGCTGGTCCTGACTGCCCAGACGTATAACGCATCTCCTGTGATTTCGTCTGTGAAGGCTGACCGGCCGTCCTTGGAGAAGCCTGAGCCCATTCACCTCTCAGTCTCCACACCTGTCACTCAGGGTGGCACAGTGAAGGTTCTCACTCAGGGCATAAACACACCCCCAGTGCTGGTTCACAATCAGCTGGTCCTCACCCCCAGCATCGTCACCACAAATAAGAAGCTTGCTGACCCTGTCACTCTTAAAATCGAGACCAAGGTCCTCCAGCCAGCCAGCCTGGGGTCCACACTCACACCTCACCACCCACCTGCTCTACCCAGCAAGCTGCCTGCAGAAGTGAACCACGTCACCGCGGGCCCCAGCACCCCGTCAGATCGCACTGTCTCCCATCTGGCAGCCACAAAGCCAGACGCTCATTCTCCTCGGCCCAGCGGACCTGCACCATCCCCCTTCCCGAGGCCCAGCCACCCCAGCAGCACTGCGTCCACTGCACTCTCCACCAATGCCACCGTCATGCTGGCTGCGGGCATTCCGGTGCCTCAGTTCATCTCCAGCCTACACCCCGAGCAGTCTGTCATCATGCCACCCCACAGCATCACTCAGACTGTGTCCCTGAGCCACCTGTCCCAGGGCGAAGTGAGGATGAACACACCCACACTGCCCAGCATCACCTACAGCATCCGGCCAGAGACACTGCACTCTCCTCGGGCCCCCCTGCAGCCCCAGCAAATAGAGGTCCGGGCCCCCCAGCGTGCTGGCACCCCCCAGCCAGCCCCAGCCAGCCTGCCTGCGCTGGCCTCCCAGCACCCTCCTGAGGAAGAAGTGCATTACCACCTCCCCGTAGCTCGAGCAGCAGCCCCTGTGCAGTCGGAGGTGCTGGTCATGCAGTCCGAGTACCGGCTGCATCCGTACACCGTGCCGCGTGACGTGAGGATCATGGTGCACCCCCATGTGACGGCCGTCAGCGAGCAGCCCAGGGCAGCAGATGGAGTGGTGAAGGTGCCGCCGGCCAGCAAGGCCCCTCAGCCGCCAGGGAAGGAGGCTGCCAAGATGACAGATGGCAAAGCGGCCCCGGCCCCGGCCCCTCATGGCGAGGCCCGCATCCTCACAGTCACCCCCAGCAACCAGCTCCAGGGGCTGCCTCTGACCCCACCTGTGGTGGTGACCCACGGGGTGCAGATTGTGCACTCCAGCGGGGAGCTGTTTCAGGAGTACCGGTACGGTGACATCCGCACCTACCACACCCCGGCTCAGCTCACGCACGCTCAGTTTCCTGCTGCCTCCTCCGTAGGCCTGCCTTCCCGGACCAAGACCCCTGCTCAGGTGAGAAGGTCGGGTGTCTTCCCCCATCTGTTGGACACGTGCTTGGGAGGTTCAGCGGGCTTTTAAGCGGAGGTGTGTCTAAAGAGCAGGTCATTCGGTCACGATAGTGGTTGAGTGCAAGTGAACTGGTCAGTCCCTAGAATCTGTTGACCTTTTCATGGGCTTAAAGAGGAACTTCCTAAATCTTGGGGCGAAAGGGTCAGATCATATCATGAAGAGCTCTGAATGTGGGAGGGGAGCCTTGGTGGGATGGGAGGAAATAATAGGTGACCCCACCCCAAACCCTGAGGATAGCACTGTTGATTCAGGCTGCCCCATGAGCTTGACTTACAGGAGGTTCCCACATCTGACTTTCCCTGTGGCCCTTTGGGTCATTTGTTGGGAGCAGGGCTTGCATGCCACAGACTGACTCCTGGTGCCTTCCTTCCCACTCTCAGGGCCCTCCTGAAGGTGAGCCCCTGCAGCCCGCTCAGCCTGCGCAGTCCACACAGCCCACCCAGCCCCTGCAGTCCACACAGCCTGCCCAGCCTGTGCCGCCCTGCCCACCCTCTCAACTCAGCCAGCCTGGCCAGCCACCAAGCAGCAAGATGCCTCAGGTCTCCCAGGAGGCAAAGGGGACCCAGACAGGAGGAGTGGAGCAGCCTCGCCTCCCAGCTGTAGCTGCAAACAGGCCGCCTGAGACCCACGCCCAGATCCAGAGGGCACAAGTGGAAACAGGCCCGACGTCCTACCCCTCCCCTGTGTCTGTCTCCATGAAGCCTGACCTTCCGGTCCCTCTTCCATCTCAGGCTGCCCCGAAGCAGCCGCTGTTTGTCCCCACAAGCTCAGGCCCCAGCACCCCACCAGGTCTGACTCTGCCACACGCTGAGGCCCAGCCAGCCCCCAAGCAGGATTCCTCTCCACACGTGACCTCTCAGAGACCTGTGGATATGGTTCAGCTTCTGAAGGTAAGCACCAGTAGGGCTGCCCTCCCAGCCCCCAGGTCTGCTGCGCTAACGTTGACTGATGCCAGCAGCTGCTGCCAGTCCTGAGCTCACCTCCTGCCTGTTTCCCCGTGTGCAGAAGTACCCCATCGTGTGGCAGGGCCTGCTGGCTCTCAAGAATGACACAGCTGCTGTGCAGCTCCACTTCGTCTCTGGCAACAACGTCCTGGCCCATCGCTCTCTGCCCCTCTCTGAAGGAGGCCCTCCCCTGAGGATCGCCCAGAGGATGCGGCTGGAGGCCTCACAGCTGGAAGGGGTTGCCCGAAGAATGACGGTAAGGTTCGGACCCCAGGTGGGCAACTACACACCCACGGGGAAGGCGTGGGTCGTCCTCGCTGCCCTGTCCTGGAACTCAGTAGTGGTATTCCTTTTTGTTGTGTTCTGTTTTGTTTTGTTTTTGAGTCAGAATCTTACTCTGTTGCCCAGGCTGGAGTGCAGTGCCACACTCTTGGCTACCACAGCCTTGAGCTGCTGGGCTCTGGGCTCAGGCGATCCTTCTGCCTCAGCCTTCCAAGTACCTGGAACTACAGGCGCACACCACCATACCTGGCTATTTTTTTGCTTTATTGTAGAGAGGAGGTCTTGCCAAGTTGCCCGGGCTGGTCTGGAACCTGACTCAGGCAGTCCTCTCACTTCAGCCTCCCAAAGTGCACACAGCCTGCCCAGCCTGTGCCACCCTAGCCACCCTCTCAACTTGGGCAGCCCAGACAGCCACCAAGTAACAAGATGCCTCAGGTCTTCCAGGCGTCTTAACAGACATGAGCCATTGTGCCCAGCTAGTAGTGGTATTCTTTAAGTGGACAGTAAAAGGCACATTCTGTTTCTATTTAGGGGTGTGAAATACCTCTAGATCCAGAAACAAGTGTTTTTTCGTCCAACTACTGTTACTAGTGGGGGTTTTGTGTTCTTGATATGCTGGGTTGGACGTGGGCCGCCATTTGGCTTGGGGGCCCTGGATCATGATTGGCCTCTGCTACAGGTGGAAACAGATTACTGTCTGCTGCTGGCTCTGCCCTGTGGCCGTGACCAAGAGGACGTTGTGAGCCAGACCGAGTCCCTCAAGGCTGCCTTCATCACCTACCTGCAGGCCAAGCAGGCAGCGGGAATCATCAATGTTCCCAATCCTGGCTCCAATCAGGTGGGTTGTCCGTGTCCTTCCGTGTCTTCCTGCATGTGCATGCACAGGTGGGGCTGGTCTGGGGCAGCTGGCTCATTTGGTGCCAACTAGAGCAGTCCAGGAGCTTCCCAGTTGAGGTGGGCAAAAGGGCATTTTGGACAGAGGAAGTCAGCGAGAACATGGGGTGCCATGGAGAGAACCCAGGGAACCGCTGAGAGCAGAGGGCACTCCTTGAGCTTGGTGATATGGGGGAGGACCAGGAGGTTTGTGCCAGTGGTTCTCTGACATCTGCTAGGCATCCCCTGGGGGACATAAGTTGCGGAGACCTCTGCTGGCCGGGGCCTGCCTGGACCTGGCTCTCTGCGCTGGGCCTCCCCAGGGCCTCCCGCTGGAAAGGCAGGGGTGGGCGATGTGGCAGCAAGGGTCCCACTCTGCTCTCTCGTCCGCCTGCAGCCTGCCTATGTGCTGCAGATCTTCCCGCCCTGCGAGTTCTCGGAGAGCCATCTGTCCCGCCTGGCCCCCGACCTCCTCGCCAGCATCTCTAGCATCTCCCCCCACCTCATGATGGTCATCGCCTCTGTGTGAGCCGCTCGGCTGCTGCCACTTCGGTGTGTTTCCCCGAGGCTCTGCAGCCAAATGAACAAGACAACCCAGCCGAGCAGAGGAAGAAGCCGTCGAAGGGGACGGATCCACTGCCAGACGGCCGGCCTCTCACTGTCCTGCCCGCCGGCTCAGTCGGACAGACTTCCTCTGGGCAGTGGTGCTGCTACCTTGTATGTTTACATGACGCTGTAGCCCAAGGACAGACCACCGGCCAACGGACTGGAGACACGGGGCTGGGGTTCTCTCTCCTTCTTGGAGAAAAGGAACAGGGCAGTGGAATGAGTTTTTTTGTTTTTAAGAAACAAGGAAACACAACTGCCTTTGCTGCACTAAATTAGTGACTCGGACTTTTGCCCAGTGAAGACAGTCTGTGACACTCTGGATGTCTCGGTGTGTGTGAACACACATCGCAGAGGCTAATGCAGGAAGGACTTCGGACTTCTGCTGAGACCTTGGGGTCAAGGAACATTTCATTGGGTTTTTCTTTTGGTCTCTCCCTCCCTACCCCCTGTGCTCATTTGGATGCATCACCTTTCTTAATTCTCCTGCTGCCACTGTCTTTGATTCACCGGGATGTACAGTTTACAATTGAAAAAGAGCAAACAGAAGGATCTCCTTCTTGGTGGGATATGCAGAACTTGGGATGTGTGTATATATAAATATATAATATATATAAATATATATAATACTGACTGAAAAAATCAAATTCCCCTGACATACATTTTTTTTAATCTGTGCCAAAAATGTGTTTTCAGAGAAAATCTTATTTTCATACTCAGACTTTGTATTGTCACTCATTTGTATAAGGGCGCTTCGACACAGCGTGCGCTCCGCGCCCGCCACGTGGAAGTGTCACACGGCACCTGTACAAGGACTGGCGAAGCCCCTCCTCTTGCCTTGGCCTCTCCCCAACTTCCTAACACTTATTAATTTATGAAACTGTTTTTCTCAGCGCAGTTTTGTTTGTGTGTCCATTGGATTACAAACTTTATTAAAAAATACAAAACACTTGTCAGGTGTGAACGTGACTGTCACTTAGGTGGGAGGACCAAGGGTCGGCGGCTTATGGGAACAGCCAACCCTCATCCCACTTTTGCTCCCCCAAGTCTGCAAATGGGACCTTTCTGCCTTTTAGTTAACCCTCCCCAAGGATTATTTTGTCTTGTACAAGAGATTTTTGTCACAGACACTGAACTGAACCGTCTTCAATGTTGTGGTATAAATTATCTACAAACCTGACGCGTTCTTAGGTGATGTGGAAGGCACTTCAGCTTTTGATCAAGAATAAAACCACCCCCGTGCAAACTCAGAAGCATCTTCTGCAAGCTTTGGTCTCTCGTCTGTTGCCCTTCTCCTCCTGCCAGCGTGGCCGGGCTGGCTCCTGCGAGGCAGTGGGCGTGGCCCGGGCTTCTTGGGCTCCCCTGGCCTGGAGGCAGGGGGACGGGGGCAGGCCTCCCCCTGCAGCTGGCTCCACCACAGGCTGTGGCGTCGGGGTGGGGACTACAAGGTCGGTGGCCTTGTGGGCAATACCAATAGGGCGTCTGCAAATAAACCTACACGTCTGATACAAGAAGATGGCATCACCGCTGGGGCGAACTGTGGAGGTGGGCAAGATGGCGTACTCTGGCTCCTTGCCAACAGAAGAGAACTGCTCCGCCACCCCCCACTTTCCCATCAAAGCTTCTGGCTGCCCCTTTCCGTTCCTCCAGGACCTCAGCCTGGTGGTAGACACTCCACTGGCACAGGGCAAGTGAACATTCCTGAGAGATGGCACCGACGTGGCCTTCATCTTTGGGCTAGGGTTACTGGTGTAGCAAGTGCGGTGTTCGGCTTCCCCAGGCCCATCAGAACCGAGCAATGGCTTGCTGGGCCTGGGACAAGGGAGCAAAGCCACTGACCTTCAGCCCAGGCTCTCTCCAGATTGCCTGGGCCCCCATGGGCAGTTGCGGCCTGCCTCTCCTGGCCCTTTTCCCACCCCTGAGCAGGGGAGCAGGGTCGCAGCTGTGCTTGCGGGGGCAGAGGGAAGGCTGGATCCTGAAGTTGAATGGGCGAGCAGCCTCCAGATGAGAACGAACCAGGGGATGGGGCACGTAGCACTGTGGTCTCTGGCCAGAGTGTGCCGCCCAAACCCCAACTCGGAACAAAGCTGGCCTGGCTCTGGACAGGTCCTGGGGTTCCGGGTGCATCTGGCAGAAAGGACAGCCTGGCTTTCCCAGGAAGGCTGGTCCCTGGATGGTGCAGCCCTTCTGTGGCATCAGGCGTGGCTGCTAGCTCCCCACCCGCCCCACAGGGACCTATAGGCAGCATTAGAAAATAATCCAATTTATTCTCTCTAGAGAACGGGACTACCCTTCCCAGTTCCAGGGTGCCATCCATCCTTAAATAAACAGTCAGGAGAAGGGCCACCCGCTCACTCGGCAGGTGGCGGACATTCGGGAGCTGTGGGAGGGGTCTCTGCCAGTGCGGGCTGGCCCTCGGCCCCGTCCCGAGGACGAAAGACCAGTTCCCCAGCCTGCAGCACCTGCCCAGCTGGCCACGTGCTGCCCGGCCCGTACTGCTGGTAGAAGTCTGCGTCTGTCTGGAACATGACCAGTGCCTGGGCCGTGTGGATGCGCACGTGCTGAGCCAGGCTGTTGGCGTCCAGGAACTTGTCCCCACAGGAGTCGCAGGCGTACAGGATGTGAGTATTGGGGTCTGTGGAGGTGGGGGCTGCGGTCAGGGTGGGAAGAACCCTGGGGTCCTCCACCACTTACCCTGGACGGCCCTTCTCACCTTCTTCCTGCACCTGCTTCACGGCTTTGCTGATCTCGGCTTTCAGGACTTCCGTCTCATCTGCTGTCACTGCGGCCCCCACTGGCACCACTGTGGGCAGAGTAGCAGGGCCTGAGGCAAAGGCCACGGGCACGGCCCTGTGGCCCCCCGAGGCACGAGCTGCAGGTGATGGCCCCTTGCTGCCCGCTGCACACCTGTGAGCTGAGTGACAGCTGTTGCTGCCAGCGCCTCAGTGGCCAGTGTGACCATGTCGTCGACGGTAACCACGCTGACCTCGCCACCCTCCTCAGGCTCCAGGATCTTGATGCCTGCCTTGCCCTGGTGCACGGTCTTCACGTGGGAGCGAAGGTTGTCCACCCGGTTGAAGCCACGCCCACACTTGTCACACAGGTAAGGTTTCTCTCCTGGGGACACAAAGCTCTCTCTTGCCTTGGGGGAAGGGGAGCAGGAGTGGGGACAGGAGGCCCTCAACGCCTCCAGCTTGCCCAACAGCCCTGACTTTTCCAGCAGGAAGTGCGCCGGGTGGCCCCCAGAAGCTCCAAGAAAATGGGGTCCTCGTCTGAACCGAACTGCCATCGAGGCCACCGGCAGCAAGTACCAACACCCAAGGCTGGGGTCTGGGGCCCCCCGCACGAGAGCAGGGGCACAGGCTCACCGGTGTGGATGATGATGTGCTTGGACAGGTCACCCACGTTCACGAAGGCCTTGCTGCACACGCTGCACTTGTGAGGGCGGATGTTGTCGTGGTGGCGAATGTGATTGGCCAGCTGGCTGGACTGGACGAACCTGCAGGGCGCGAGGGC